TCCTTCTCCTCCTCCTCCTCCTTCTCCTCCTCCTCCTCCTCCTCCTCCTCCTCCTCCTCCTCCTTCTCCTCCTCCTCCTCCTCCTCCCTCTCCTACCCATTTTCTTACGTAAGGACAGAGTGGAAGGCGGCAGAATTAAGGACTGAAATACGAGCCGTGTACATGGACTAATTTAGCATTTAATAATACGCCTGATCTTATGTGTTTACCTTCTCAAGTGCATGGAGCATAAAATGTTTGTCTTCTTTTGATGTTTTATGAGGCTATAATAAGCACCGAAGCAAACAGAAGTTGAGAGGTTAGCATGATATAAGATTCAGCATTTTGAATTAAAGGGCATTTTTCTTCCCTTCCCCCTAGGCTGTCATTAAGTCGATAGGAGAAAAAAAAAGCCGAAAAAAAGATACGCATTTGGCTATTTGTGCTTTGCCCCGGGGCTATACTAATGAGCATTTTCCTCACTGAAGAAGGTGGAAGAGAGAAGCCAACTTTCGTGCCATCTTGTTAAGTACATTTTAAATGTCCACTCGAAGAGTGCAACTTGAGTTTTTATGCCCTCTCTTCCCACTTTTTTGATTTTTTTACAGACTAGCTGACCGGTTAAGGGGCTGGAGTTGGGAGGGCTGTGCGCAATTAACTGAAGTGACTCAAGTGCTCCGCACCTATCCCTCTTGACTATGAATATATTGTTACAGTAGATGACGGTAAGCCTGAAAAACTAGGTGGATTGCTAAATAACTTCTACGATATGGCGGGGTTTCTCTATTGCACCGTTTGGTAGGCGGGCGAGCATATCATTGGTTATCTCCACTGCTGGTGGAATGCAGAAGCAATTTTTCACTGTGACCTTTAAGCTGGAGGTCAAGTAAATAAGGACGAGATCGAGCTAGGAGGTGCTTAGGGAAGACTTCTTCAGAAAGAGTTTAAATTGGTTAAATAGTTAAAAGAAAGTCCAATTCCTATGCCGACTCATAGCCATGAGGCATCCAACGGCACCTTAGGTGGATACCGCCTCGCTTTCATCCTCCCTACTTCTCTAAGTTCTCAATACTTTCTTCTGGAAAAAATAGAAATAGCCCTTTAGGGGATGCAGGTGAGGGAGGAAATTGTGGGTGGTTGCAGCTAAGTTTTGTCTTAGCTCTTAGAAACAAAAGTCACACATTACTTAGGAGGGCTTAGTAAATTCACCTTCCATTCTTTGCATTAGAATGGTTTGACCAAAATATTACCTGATAGTTCTCTTCGTGGCACACTTCCGTGCGGAAAGTTGTGTCGAGATGACTGTTAAAGTTAAAAAAAGGGAACATATAAGCCGTCAAGTTTCTATTCGGAGAGGGGGAGGAAGGAGACAGTTTAAAATTTGTCACCACCTCGGAGACCGGTGGTCTTCTCACCATCACGAGATCGGTCAAAAACGGTAGCAAATTAACGTAATCTTTTGAAACTCCGCCTAGACACTTGTCATACATGATTGTTATGCAACCTGGTACGGCTCTTGTCAGACTGACGGAAGAGTGAACTATCACATATCAGGAAAGCGAATTACTTGCTGTCTCCATGTGTAGGCAGTATGGGGATAAGGTTTCCTCCCAGTTCGGTTGACAGATGGAGAGACCTTTGAACCGACCACGGTAACGACAATATAGAATGAAAGGAAAACATCAAATTGAATAAGGCCGATCAGTGGTGGAATCTAACCATGACCTAATTCAAAACACCGCGTTATTACCCAGGCCAGCAGTACAACCAGGCAAAAGTTAATGCGGAACTGTTGAATTCTCAGCATGAAGAAGGGTGAATTCCCACAAGAGAGATAAAATTTTGCTTGGTGCAATGCGAAAAATTTGTTCCTACTTCTTCCTTGGCCAGCTTGTACTATTAGGGAGAAACAATTTCCCGTAAACGATTTGTGTTTTGAGGAATTTTTACCAAAGCGGCGGATGGTTTATTTATAACGTACAGAAGGATTGAGGAGACATACCATATGCAGTAAAGATTTCGCATAATTAAACCAACTGTCACACAAAATATCAGGTCACGGTATAACTCTCTTCCTCTTTTGAGACTCGCCCCTTCTCCCCTCCTTCCCTTTGTTCATGCCTCTTCTTCAACCGTCCCAACGTATTCGGTGCTTTAAAGACCACCAAAGAGTCAGGAGCGCTAGGCATTAAAATTAAGGTTAAGGGAAGCAGATATTTGATCTTACCATCTAGGATACATCTCGAGGATTTCATTGTGGCCGGGATTTCGTCCTATTCGGGTATCCTACTATCTTTCATGGCATTAAAGCTTGGAAAATTGTTCCACAAGGGGAATATTTTGTATACCAACCGGGTTAGCCTGACAACAGATATATTTAATAAAGTACACGAGTTGGAAGAACCTCATAGGTTTGAGAGTCTGTATCCATTCTTCGTTGTCACAATGTTTTCCCTTCAGTATTGCCGTGATGTCGGAGGTTACATTAGTGTAGCGTCCCGAGACTCTCTGAAGACGAAAGAAGACACAATACTCGGGCAGAACATATATATATATGCAGCACGGAGAAGGTGTCTGGGCTACTGGCATGGCCCAAAGGCCAGCCCACCCAGCGAGGTACAAGGGGGCTAATTCAAAGTACAAAAGTGGCGCCTCACCAGAACCGAGGGATAAACCACTATTGTATTACATTAGTTACCAATAGCCTTCTTGCCTTACCAAAGGTACATGTCAATTTAGCGCTTCTAATGGAAGTCTTTGGAGCTATATCCATTCGCATCAGATAGCCAACCTTAGTAGTGCTTAGGCTTGTCAATCACGCTTTGATATCAGGATAGTTTTTTTGTTGAATAGATTTTGGCCTCTGCTACTAACAACATGACACTCCGAGTATGTGTGTAGAACAGGAAGTCATCGGACCAGATGTTGACGATAATGAAGGTTGAGGGTGTGGAATGAGCAGAGGAACGCTACGGTTAAAATAGCCACTGAAGCACCATTTCATCATGGTGTACTTCAACATTTGTTCGGAAGGAATGTCCCATTAGCGCACACCGTTCCAAGTACGCACTGCCACTCGTTCGCTACCTTGATTAAAGGCACCATAGCTAACTGGTCGGCAACATATGTGAAGATTATCAACAGCAGGACATGTGTGCCACATAACTGCATGTACTATTGTCATGGTGGCACCCAAAATTCGTCTTCAACCCTCTAATTCCAGTAGCTTTACTGTCCGGACAGTTGATCTTAAATAATGTCGAGTTTGGAACCACTAAATAAGCGGCTGAGTTGCCATGATTTTTGATAAAGTTAAAAAATATTGGGCCTAGGATGATTTACAGTGAATGGGAGAGTCTAGCCAGCACTTGAGTAGATTATTCTGCAAGATTTATCCAACTCACCGAGTGTTTCACCACGTTTCATTATGGCCCTCTTATAACTCACGCCAATAAGTACATGGTAAGTGGTTTTTTTTGTCAAAGTAGAGAATTCAAAAGATGGAAAGGTATTCGTTACTTTTATTACTCAAGGATCCGGACATAGAAATAGCTCATTCACCCAAATCCGATATTTCCACTTCTTTGTTTCAATTGTCAGAAACGGTTGAAAAAACCTCACGTCTTTACAAATTAAACTGCCGCCTACAAAAAAATTCGTCAAGTCAATATTTCAAACATTTTAAGGCCAGACTTTGCCACTTCGAAATCACTACAAACTTTACTTTCTAAGTATCGTAAAGAAGACAAGCAATTTCTGATGTCCCTGACTAAATAAAGTTGGTGTTTTTTTCCTGGCGTCGATTTTATATTTGCTTCTTACCATAAGTAGTCATCCCTAAAGTAGGATAAGTCCTACCGCTTTAAATGAAGATTTACTTATTTCCGCTCTTGGACAAAAAAGGAGTCTTCGTGGAGGAATTCGCTTAGTTGCAATGGAAAGGGTGACACTTAAAAAGACACTTTCCTCCACGCCACCTCTGCCTTCATATCCCTAAAACGAGAAGGCGAAGTGGATGAGGACACAATTTACTTGATAGTGAAAAACAAAATAGGTATAGATATCCAAATTTAAGAGCTCTTAGCGTACTTTCCCCTTCGGGGGCCGATGGTGTCTGTTCCGTCACTAGGCTCGTATTTACTGAACCCCTCTCGCCTAAAAGGTGCATTCACACAAAGTTCTTGCAGTGGCTCCTTCCTTTAAGAAAGCTTTCAGCAGTTATTTTACATGTATGAAAGAAACCGATGAGAAATGGCCTGGCCATTTTTATAGATTTGATGTTAGTATCCCTCTTAATTTGTGTTAAATATTTGTGGCCTGAGTCTGTCGGATTCTTGGACACATCTTGCTGTTTACTGTGCATGCGTAAGAATACTAGTTGATTTTTTTTCCCTATTTATAGCGTTCCAAGACCTTTTAAAAGTTATAACAAGTACTCACTGCGCGGTAGAAAATGCACTGCAGATGTACAGCGGAGCTAAGGTTACTGGCATTGTCCGGTAGTGGGACAATTTGCAAAAACGTAGGTTTCCGCCAAGATAAAATGCTGTGTCAATCATACCATCATGGCATTACGTGTTGCTGGAAGGTTTTGAATTTCTGTAAAATCTTTGCAAATTTATTCAACCATTGTTGATGGCTGAAATCTGTAGTGGACATTTCATGCATATAGTCAATATTCCACTTTAAAGTGTTAAAAAACGAAGGGAAATTCTCCGCAATAATTTGATGATGCAAAAAGCCGTTGTAAAGGCATACAATTTAGAAGACGTAATTGTACTTGTCTTGTTTTTTATACCTTAAAAGGAGTGGAAATTTAAATATTATTTTTGTATTAGTTAATAAGTTTCCACCATCTGTGTCAAGGGCTTCAAACCTCATTCATCAACAAGCAGCACGTACAATCACCAAGACGTGCAAATTCGTCATCCATTCAAGGAATCGTTGCGGCTGAAGCAGCACGGAGACCCTGAGGAATGCCAAGGACAGACTTTGAAAGCAGGCGAAGATCAAGTCGTTCGAGAGCACCTTTAACCACTCCGACTCTTCCCTCTTCACAGATTGCGTCCACACTAGACGACATGGTCCCCCGTTAATGACAAACCATCGTCTGCGGGGAGATGGCTCGTGGAAGGTCGAGGGCCAATGTGACATCAATATACGGTGTACATTTAATTTGTCATCAAGGAAAAAACAATTCTGTATTGCCGATTAACATCCTACAGGCAGAAACCTAGAGAAGTAGATTAGATAAAGCAATTGTTTGGAAGATGAAGACACTCAACAGCTAGTGGCAAATTTTCTGTTCAGTGGGACCGCATGCTTAAAATTTTATGCAGTCTCTAGGTCACCTTTGAAGACTTTGTAAGGCATTCACTACTGTCGATGAACTTTGCACAAAAGTGGGGAGAGAGCCGGAAAACATGAAATAAAAGTGCTGTGAAGTCAGAACATGGGAAGACTCTTTGACAAGACTACATGTTCCGAGAAGATTAATAGCTAGTTACTCTTGTTCACCTTGCCAAACTTCATGTAGCAGAAGTCTACTTATTGGAAGCAACGTAAGGTATTATTAAGATTCCACTCTGGTGACTCATTTTCCGATTTGTTGATAACCGGCTGTGCCAGATCGCAAGTCGTAAACAGATCGATCTAGTCATAAGCGATGGCACGGAAACAGTAGGTTCCTGATCTCTCATAGCACGAACCAGACACGCAAAGTTGGCGACATTTAATGTTGCATTGAGCTAAGGGACCGATAATCTGTCCGCGCGTCACACGCTTGATAGATGCGACTACTAGATTTGTGACAGACCTCGTCAAATATCCCCCTTTTGCCTGTCACACTGAAAGGTCGAGAGTAGAAATCACTTCTGACAGTCACTTCTGCTAACAGCTCACAAGCTCTTCGGTAAGCTCCTGGTAAGACTTTATTCTCCCTCATGTACAACTTGATACAATGATGTATTTAGTGTCATATTAACAAAGAGAGTATTAAGAGAAACCTGTTGGATTGTACAGAAAAAATTTTCGGACTTCAAGAATGTCGTAACCGCCACCAAATAGCGATTGCGCAAAGTCGCCTGTGAATAATGAAAAAAGGTTACTTAAATATTAATAAGTAGCAAATGCGCGACCCTTCAAATATCCAAATCATCATCGGGATCGTCCTCGTCAATGTCATCGAACACATCAGGCACGTAATCAATCGTGCTCTCAGGCAGAGGCAGAGTAGACGGGTCTACACTAGTATTTACTGCAGCATGGTAGGGCAGCACGACCTTCTGTTTCGCCTCAATCTCCGTCTGCGAAGCGGTCAGTTTAAAAGTGGAGGTAGGTAAACTTTCAGGCTCCTTCACCTTCTCAATCACCGTGGAAGCGGAACAGCTAACAATGATACGGGTTTTGGGGTCCAATGTGATCTGACAGAGACCAGAAACAGCTGGTTTATTGTGAGGAGCAAGGGTAGAAATCAGTCGCACAGATTTACAAATTGAGTCAAGGGTTCGTCGATGCCAGAAATCAGCTTCCAGGATATTTCTGTTGTCGGTTGGAGTTAGTCGAACACAGGTGGTAGCATAGGACTCAAAAATATCTCGGACCTGTTCACTTGAAGAGGTAATTTCCACATTGGGAGCTTTATAGATGTTTAAGGAACAGATAACTGAGGCAATTGAATGATTAGTGGCAAAAGAAAGAAGATGTGATAAAATTAGGCTAGCCCAATTGCCTATTTCGTGATCGGAAGGACAATCCATTAAAAAGGCGTCCATGTTCTCGAAGAAAATGACCCAGAGCGGAGAATCTGGAGGTGTGGTGGAGACTCGGTTGCCCACCTCCTTTAGACAATCCAGTGCACAGGGAAAGTCCCAAAAATCGATTTTCTGGATGGTAGAGGGCAGTTGGCTTGGAAGAGGGGAGCCGGGTAACTCTGATCGAACAATTAGGCATGTGTATTGCTCGCACAAACGTTTGCACAATGTAGGCCAAATCGAGAAGCAGGAGACAAGAGGGAACGAATCCTCGAAAAGGAGGAACGATGAAAGCTTTCGACCCCCGAGAATGTCAAGGAGATGAACGCTAGGGACGGTCATTGTGTGAACTGAAATGCGGGGAAAGCGAGTAGGTAGGAGTTAGGGGTTTTATGATCAAAATAGTTAAGTCGGTAATCGACCAACTATATGTCCTAGTTTGTTTAGAGTACACTAACTTAAGCATCTGAGTGCAAAGCAGAAGGTCAACTATTACTTATGAGGCTCGATATGCAGCCGGTGAGTAATAACATGCGCATACATTTCCAGATTACTTTTCATTTGTATCGAGCAATAATCAGGATATTTTTTCCAAAGCAAAAAGTTGAGGATGAGAATTAATAACATAATAAGAACCAATTGGCGAAGTTAAGCAGACTTATCAGAAGAAATTGTCATGCGCCCGTTGCCCGCTATCAACCAACAAATACAACAAACGCGCCACGATTTAATTGGTTGATTTACAAGGACACTAGAGCCCTGTCTTTAGTGGCCAATTAAATTATGGCGCTACTCTTGGTCGTGGTGTTCACTAAGACTGAGCCTTAAGAATGACTGCTATGCAGTAAGATCTGTGGGGGAGTATAAACCGCTTTTAGGGAGGACTGTGCTAAGCTTAGAACGTACATTAATGAGCAACTTATGCTTACGGGAGAACGAGAAAGACTTAAAGACTTACTCAGGACAAGGCTATTAGAATGCGGATGGAGGGATGAGCTTAAGTCCTATTGCAAAGGTACGTTGTTTGGAAACACTGAATGTACCATTGTGAGTTCGGTAAATTTTTTCAGTGAAACTCGTTGCACATTTTTTTCGGACCACAGTGAGTTCTAGTTGCTTTCCATTTTGTAGAAGTGATTGCAAAGAAAGGTATTTCCTGCGTTACCGTGAACGATCTGGTGACCGAACTAACTCCTGTTGCCCGTCGGCTTGTTCCAGATTCTGTTAAACAGGAGCTTGTCGATGCCATTCGCAAGTTTTTGCCCAAGGATAGAGAGGACAATGATGACAAATACGAATGACCACTCCCGTGCACTCGTTCTGTGAATTTTTTAAAGCTTAATACACTTTTTTGCTAATGGAGTAGTTTAATGGTATTACTGGTCCTTCTTGATGCCTCCTACTTGAGATTTCATGCTATTTTTGCTTTGGTCAAGGGCTGCCTTGAATGTTTTCCCAGAGTTTACCATTTCCCGCTTATTGAGTAAAACCTACTTCGTATCTCCTCTGCATCTGCAAAAAACGGTTTTATAGGTCCTGCTAACGTCTACCATCCCTAGTAAGCACCAAGTCTCCTGCTCTTTCCTACGTTCGCTGTTATTCACTCCATCATTTTATTATGCTTGAGGATCCGCACGTTTAGCTACCAGTTTCGGGGCGTTGAAGTCAAGCGAACCTTTGAAGTTCGTATAAGGGGACCTTTGAGATGTGACGTGGTTGATCTGTTTTTCGCCATGGTCCTCGGCTCCTTTTACTTACCTACTTCAGCGTCCCCTTGTTGCTCTTGCTAGCCGTCTTTGATGAGGATGACAGGGCCAACCTACACTAACTCTAGGTAGAGGCAGACCGCCCACCCATTACCGAATGTTGACCAGATCCCGTAATACCTACACCCCCTCTGACATAGCTAACGACAGTTCCTCCCTCCTCACATCATTTGGCTGCCAAACAAAAGTAAGCAGACTATTTAAAGGTCAACTTCAGTTTTTTTGTCAATATTTTCCAACTTATCTATATTGTTTGAGAGTAAAAGGCGGGTCAGTTTGATTAATAAGTGGAGCGGGGAGGGCAAAGAAAGACAAGTAAATCAGTGCAGGACAGTCATTATCCTTGTCAGTCTACTTTATTCCAAGGCGGTATTTTTGAAAGAGGTAAAGGATGAGGGAAAAGGGGATTGGGAGCACTAGCACATGGTGGGTATATCGCTGCCTGTTAAATAGAAAAAGGGTGGAGACGAGTAACAGGCTAGATGAGTGGGGCGATAAAAACGGTGATGAAAACGGAGAGTGGAGATGTTAACGATGATAAGGTGGATTGCGGGGCCGATGAGAGACGCACAGATTTACGAGTGAACCTAAAAGGCAAACATAGGCCATTAAATTTATTTATCTCTCCACTTTCCATCACAATATCAAACCATTTGAGTAGTAAGCGTGCTCCCAACTTACTCAAACGCAAAATCTGCGATGTCACATGACAACTCACGCAACAAGATCTTACCGTACCTCTTTCGTATTCAAAAGCTCCAAGGGGAGAGCGCTATGCGGGTTAACCTTGACGAACCAATAGGAATTTCACCGGGCGATCAATAGCCGGTTTTACAAATGACATGCAACATGATACCCCCCGCAATATTAGACTGACATGAAGTCAACTCGTTGGTATGACAACCTGTCGCCTATAACGACACTCCATGCATGTGAATGATAAAAAAAGCCATACTCCTATTTATGTTAGCGGGAATGAAGGAGCGCAGTGATTTATTAGCGAACACACTCAACAGGGAAGACACTGATTCAACACAGTCGTTGTCAGACATGTCTCCCTTTTCCACATGTACTACACGTGAAAAAAAGCTGTTCTTATAAAATATCCCAAAGTCGAATTGGGTTCGTACTGATAAGATGTATAAGCTTGCCGGAAAGTGATAAAAAGAAAAGGCAGCGCAAGTCACGCAATCATTGGTACTATAAAAACGGAGATTTTAGCTTTAATGTAAAACTAATACGGGTGCTTTTGATTGGCTGTAATAAAGAGCAGTGAGGATTAAATTGCACGCCCTCAGAGTAGTGAGCAAAGATGAGTCGTTTCTTAAAGAGAGATAAAAGACAAAAAAACAAAACATCGAGGTTAATTTAAAACTCCAAGTCCACATTTCGCATTATACTGCATGATTTAAAAGGCGGATAACGCCACCATTTCGGCTCCTGCTAATTGCTATTTACAAGCGGCGGTAAACAATATATGCCGTCGCTATAAGCTGGTAACCCTAAACGAATCAAAGGCCTTTCATTCACCCCCATAAACAACCCGTTAATGCGACATTATGTAGGTGTTATAACATTTTTAAGCCATCACCGGAGTGCCTTGGCTCAAATATTTTATTGCCCTGATGATGTTACCACTTGCAGTGCCGAGTTGGTCTTTTCACTAACATCTTTTATCATCAACCAAGCTGTTAGAGGCCCGCATTGGTACAATCGGGTGGAGTAAAATGATAAGAAACACATAGCACCTACTTGTGCCACCAGGGTCAGGCAATAAAATCAGCATGCCATTTGGCACGAACCCCGGTAGCCAACATGTCACCCAATGCCCTCAAAACATTAGGGCAGGAGGACATTCGTGAGCGAGTGTCCTCCCTGTGCTAGACCAGTCCCGCTATAGCCTACACTCTGTCCTTTCTTAAACTGAAGGCTCAACCTAGAGATAGAGAAGCCAAAGATTTAACAGCTTGCATTAATGGGGGGGGGGATAGGTTAGCGATCAAATGGAGACTTAACGGACGTTTGAAACGATCTAATGCTCCGTAAGCTTAACAAGGCTTCTCCTTACTCAGAACACGCAAATTAAGGTCTTCCATCTGACGCTGCATATTATTCGTCTCCTCGTCCATTCTAAGCAAACGGGAGAACCCATAAGCCAACCTTTCTGATCCAGAAATCAGCACAACAACGATTTACCAACCTACCTTGTAATGTTCAGAAAATGAGTGAGTGAGCGAAAGACTAAAGCGGGAGGGAGAGGTGGACGGAAGCACGAGCATTAGCTTCCGCTCACTTACTCTCCCACTCTTCAGCTTGCTATCGCCTCCAGTGCATATCTACACGCGATAACCATTGGCCTGTTCAGCGAAGTAGTCGCCGGCATGTAGTTGTAGTTCATCGCTACGATATCGCGTCAGACGCACCGAAGAGCGCACCGCCTCGTTGATGGATCCCTTGTAGCCGCCTTTCCTGAGCAGAGAGTCAATTGTCTCCTGATGATTCCAACCTGAAAAGGGAGAGGGATCGTGACAACCCATGCAAAGGTGGAGCAAGTAACTAAAACAATTCGGCACTGATGTGGAGGCAAAGTGCACCGGAAACACATACCACGACAAATTTGAGATGTCTCGGAAGATGATGCAGATAACTAGCGTAAAATATGTGGGAAGTAATTTAATTCACACACTGTGCAGATGTAATAATTGGTTATCAAATGTAGGGGAAACCTGTTTAAGTATGATGAGTACGAAGTGACGCAAAGCTTGAGTGAATGGCTTAAGGAATATGATAATTTCATTAGCGTAGAAAGTACCAAACAGACGTGAAAACGGTGTTGCCTGAATACAGCTTCGACATCCAACACCACAGATGGATTAAAACGCGCCTCGTAGTTAGCTGAATCCTGAAAGTGTAATTTCGTACAGAGGTGTAAAACGTGGGCCGCAACCACGCATATACGGAACAAGTTTTTGAGAGACATACACGTCGATAATGGCAGAGTGACATAGCAATGACATTTAAAAACGAAGTTAAATAATTCACACAGAGTATAAAACCAGAGCGATAAAACGAACGCATTAGTTGTGCCCTGTATATCGTAGGTCACATGTTAGAAACAAAGAAATGGAGAAGAGCAGTTACAAAACAGAAATAGACAGGTCATATTGCTCGGTTGAGGCAGTTTTGGCTAGAGCACTTGTTCAAAGATATGTAGAACCACAAAGCCTATTTATTAAAACGAAAGCAAAGTAAACAAGTGCAAGGACCAGAGAGAGGCGCATTGACAAGAAATGGAAACACCTACCTACCAGATATAAGAATAAACAAGGATTACGGCTACGCGGTATGTGGATTTAGCCGGTGGTTATGCTAACCAGCCAAACAGAAGATGCATGACAGAGTAAATGAACAGACTGTGTAGCGTCGATAATATTTACGGAGACTCTCTTCTCAACAGATTTATGTTATGCATTTCGGTAAGCACAGTGCCTAGAAATCAAACACCGAAACCAGACTGGAATGATGCAAAACTTACGATATTTTTATGATGTGGGGACTCAAAGAATGCACTGCACTATTAGGTCAAGGAGACACAGCACACTTCACATTATAGTCGCTTGGCTTTTATAAATCCACAAATTCTGCTACTGGGTATGATCACAAGTGTAGCATGTGATATGGAAACTCAAAATACAAAAAGGTTGCACAATATAAGACCCACTTGTAAAGAACCGGTTCGGGTCCGGCAGGTAAAGTTAAGGAATTAAAAGGGTTTTTAAATTATTAGCGCAGATGTGTGAATCTGACCAAAAAATAGACCATACAGATAAGTAAAAATAGGTCGAAAATGTTCAATGTCAAAAAACAGTCACGGGATGAACAACAATGTTCTCAAAAAAAACAGTACTACATGGGATTGATGAGTTTGAGAAGGCAAAAGACAAATACCCTCGAAGTAGGCGAACTGCTAACCTTGTTCAACGGCAACTTCTGGAAGGTATGTTGCAGAACGTTGAGACCCACGCTCATTTAGAAACTCTATTCGGATTCCATGAACGCCGATCTGGTAAAAAGAGATGAATTTGGTTGGAGAAAGTAATAAATCTGTATGCATATTAAAAAAGAAGAAAACGATGGACAAGCAAACTTAGAGCAATAACCTGCCAATCTTTGTAATCAGCGGCATCCTCGAAATCTGTAAGCAAGGAGACGGAGCAATAGAGGTGGGGAAATTCTTTTTGCGTAATCGGAGAGAAACGCGAGTCGCGTAATGCACTGGGGAAAACGTAAAAAAGAACATAAGCTACCTGTTTAACGCATATTCACGAAGGCCAGTGTACAAGTTCATTGCCTTAAAGGTCCCAATACAGCCACGAAGACGTTGGTCTTTACCATAACTCCAGGTAACAAATAAGGGACTAAAAATAAACAGAAATCAAGAACCAATACTATGCATGATTTGGGAAAGTTCTGGGTTGGGGTGGAGGATCCTGATTAAATAGCTGCCTATGAAGTACGTCAAAACAATAAAGGCACATTTCACGCCGGACTAATGGGTGAGAAATATCACTAGAAGGTGCTGGAACGCTTTCTTCTTCCACACTGTTGTTGTTCTTATCAAGCCTTTGTTTTTTGCATCCCAGAGCTGGCGAATTATGGTTAAAACTGTGTTTAGACATTTGCAAAAGGTGGTACCACTACTACAACAAAGCCAACCAATTGCAAAGTGCGGAAGCAAAGGGCGAGCTTAAAGAATAAGGCTAATTCCTGTGTTAAACAAAGCACTGAAAATCGTATTACCATCCAAAAGAAACTTTAAATTTTTAAGGTTAAATTTATAAAATAAAGTAAAGTGCATGTACATGGTTAAAACGTGTGATACCCAAAGGAAACCGGAAAAGCTAAAAAGCAGGTTGAGTAAAACTAGGCGAGTCTTAGCAACCATATTGAAAGTAACTTAACCCTGACATTAAAGACTCAAGTCAATAAAAGCTTTTTTTAAAGAAGCCAGTAAAACATAAATGGACAGCGGGCAAAGTGTTCAGGCTGCCAGTCGTAAGAGTAATAAGCGAATAAAATGTAGGCCACCACATTCCACCTTTCATAAAACAAGATTAAAAAAAAATTAGCCGAGAAAAGGCTGTTGAAAGTAGAAGTCTGCTAAGATATGTTTAGTAAAATTTGGCGTTGTAGCATAAATATCACGAGACTATCATGAAAACAGAAGTAGTCCTAATTCAAGTGCAGAATGTGTACTGCCGACGAACAAAAAAGCCGAGGGGCTGCAAGTATAATGCTTATGTTGTTTTAATGCACCGTTCAGGGAGGAGGCAATCAGGAAATTAGAATCTCGTGGCCGTATCGTCCCCTCCCGCACCTTGTGACTGCGGTTCCTCTCCTTCTCAAAAGTTGTATTTTTCTTTCCATCTTTTCATCTTTCATAAATATGCCCCAAACGCATCAACCGGGCGTCTCTACGAATGCTAATAACAGAGAAGCGGAGACCGATGAGTCTCGTCCACACAGGCATGCCTGAAATTTCAGCTAGATGGGAGCAATGAAACGTAGGAACCCTATTACGTCCAGCTACAAAATAGAAAATGTAAGGAACGATTACAAAACCACCTACGATATATTACTGTAATACGATAGTGGTTTATCCCTCGGTTCTGGTGATGCGCCACTTTTGTACTTCGAATTAGCCCCCCTGTACCTCGCTGGGTGGGCTGGCCTTTTGGGCCATGCCAATAGCCCAGACACCTCCGTGCTGAATATATATATTCTGCCCAAGTATTTTGTCTTCTTTCGTCTTCAGGGAGTCTCGGGACGCTACATTACTTTCCTTAAAATGTGTATTGATGCATATAGCATCAGCCAAGTGAAAAAAATATTGCAAGCATTCGAATTTGATTGCAATTCGAGTTCGATGTTGATGATTTTTGTATCAAATTTGAATATTATTATTGTATTTTAGCAAACTAGACAGGCACCCAAAATAATGCATGCTTTTAAGCCATTTTTGCTAGCATTTACGTCGCTTCTCTGATAGTTTATTGGTCGTGTTGATATGAGCTGGCATGAAATTCCGATTTGGTATTGTATACGCGCTTGATTCAACGGCCCTTAGGTTTCCGAAATTCCACGCGCATTTGACTACGGCCAATTATATTTCACACTGCAAGTTGTCACTTTATTTTAGTGCGCAATAAATGATGCGTATTTTTAATGCTGAATTTGCTTCAAACTTTTTACTCCGGTTGCTTTTTTTGTGTTTCTATATTCACAATTTTATAGCTTAGGCTACTGAGTCAATTTTTTTTATTTTCTGCTTCATTGTGATTCTTTCAAGGGAAGGCTCTATGTTTTTAGTCAAGCTGATAGCTTTTTTGTCACTCCTCTAACACCCATTTTGTGATTCTGAATAATTTTTTTCACAGTTTTTTTACTTTTATTGCCGTCATGCTAATTTTGGCCACCTTTTTCGTTTTCACTCTTCATATTATCTTTTTAGGTTCCCCTATATTTTTAATTTTTTAGGTTCATGGAATCCGATATGTGGAGTTTGTTGGCTGAACTTCTGACTCGGACCGTCGGCCAGTCAGCTAATTCCGAAATAGAAAAAGTTCGCTCACTTATCCCAGAAACTGACGTCCACTTACAAAACACCGTCAATCAAGTGGATTTCCTTCTTCATCACTTGGAGGAAAAACACCGTCAGAGGATCATTTCTCGCATTCTGGGTGATATTTCCGTTTGTGTGGAACATATTTGGCAGTAAGTGATTTCATTCTGGTTTTGTTTGATGGTTTAGTAGTGTTTCAATGCTTGTTTTTTTTCTTATAACTTCCATGGCTAAATGATACAGCTAATCTGACCACACTTCATCTCGCTTTAAAAGCACCTCAAAGTTAATATTCTTGCTGTTTTAATTCAGCTACTCGGCCTCGTGCCTGAGGGTTTGTTATGGTGGAGAGGACTCAAATGAGAGTGTTGTCACAGCTTGCCGAGTTGCTCTGCAGGAGTCCTGGTACACCGATACCGGTTCTCCCGGTTTTTCGGGTAACTCGCCCCTGGATTCGTCTAATAGCGGCACGGCCTCTCGTTCGGTGATCTATCTTAGTCCTGCTGCTCCATCACACTTGCGTCGGTGGCTGTCGCTCAATGTAGGCGTTCTTTTATCCGAAAATTTTTTGCATGTTAACATGCTTGCTGCTACGTTGCAACCCTAAACTGTCCCCCTAACCACCAGTGCACCCATTCAAGCATTTATTTGTTCGCTAACGCCTGCGTTCGACCCCATACTTTACTGCCAATCTCTGCTCTGCCTAGTCACTCGTTTCTTCTTTGATCTTTGATGTGTCCACTCATACTTTGTTCATTCTTTTCTATTGGTGTTATTTATTTCCGCCCCATTTCACTTCATTTCAACTTTGTTCTTGTGAATATCTCTAGTTCACTGACTTCCACTTCATCGATTATGAATCCATCTCCTGTTTTCTCGAATAACAATCCTTTACAAACTTTAGTCTCAACCTGAAAACTTTTTAGATAAATATTTGCCTTTACATTTCTTACAATGGTTGTCCAACAAATGTTCATTCGTGATAGTAAAATAGTCACGTTTATAAGCATGCATTCCTCATATCTCTGGTATAATGGGCATCTAAATAGGAAATAAATTGAGTGATTAATATTTCCACATATAGTTATAGGTACCTTATTCTCGTTACGTTTGCGTTTTTTCACAGCTCTGCTGCTCCGGTCTCCTAATCACCGTCTTACCTGCAGAAGATAACAGCACTTTGCCAACAATTGTGAGTTGTGTGGAATTTCCAGTTTCATTGGGTAGCATCTTGACGTTGGGTTAGCTGACGTCTTAAAGTTAAACCATAAAAAAGACGTGCGGGCATAGAATACAGCGTCTTGTACCTCCAAGCACCAATCATTTAGTGTCCTTCAAGGCTAATAGCTTGTCTTTTTTCAAAAGTGAATCGAGCAAACTAGGCCTGGAGGTCAATTAGCTTACAGCTTGTGGAGTCTTGCAAGACGTATACAGTGGTGCTCTATCGGCATGATGTACAACTCTATTGCGCTCTCTATTACTTTATCCTTAATTTGAGTTCTCACATCACCAAATGCCACTTGAACTTAATGGATGTGGTTGCAACTTGTCGGCTTTACAACTCGAGTTTAGCCCGATTTTCACGATGAAGAAGTTAGCTACTCGTCAATTCCAGTGTTTTGTGCTTTGAGAAATTGTGGAGCAGTAGAACGATCCTGTAGGGAAATGGTTAAAGTAAACAATGTGGTTCTGGTAATGAATCACTCCAAGTCAGCCAGACAGGTGGTTGCATTGTGTGAAGGGGCAGGATGCTGCGTTTACTGTTAAGAAGTGGGTGAGTAAGAGCAACCGTTGGTAACGTTGAACGTGAAAGATGATGAAAGAGTTGGTTTGCATCTACCTCGACTGATACAGAGAAGTGAGTAGTGGAGAGATGGACTGTGTGTCTAAGCAAATGAGTCCTACCAACAGGGAAGAGCAAAGGTGAAACACTAAGAAATGGCCTGATAGATTGAGACCAAAAGACTACCACTTTGGTCCACACTTCACTTCATTTTATAATGCGAAGACGTGCTGTACACTTTTAACGGTCTGACTGACCAACTGACTCGTTGAGTGACCGACCGACCTATAATGGGAAATGGCTGTTGCATTGCAACTTTTGGCGGACGAACACATTGTTTGTCATCTCCGAATGATGTACCAACGTCCCACTCGGCATCTTCACTGAGGTATCACTTCTCCGTTGGAAGACTGCACTTTGTTTGTGCGTCCGTGTGGTACGCTGCTGTCCGAATTGTTCACCTATCGAGGGAAAACAGGCAACAAATGAGCTTTTATGAATACACAGCAATGTTTGTCAAGGGCTGTTGTTTCCTCGCAAAAAATCAGGTCAAAGAAGAAGTTGAAAGCACCATTTTTTAAAGACAGTCCAGGGTCTCACACTGTTGCAAAATCTATCCTTCGGAAGACTTTTGATTTTTTTATGGGATGTGAGATGTTGTTTCACCCTCTTTATTTCTCTAGGTGATGTCATTCACTTGATCGCACTTGAAATAGATTTGAGAAAAAAGAATGAGATGGAAATAAAGGTGGCTAGGGCTAAGTTATTCAATTCTTACCATGAAATATTGTCTAAAGTGGACTTCACAGTCGGCTTGTATCCTTTCAAAGAGGTATGATGGACAGCTAGTGGTAATTATTGTTTTGAGCAAATTAAATATCTACTTCAAACCCTTCTGTAGTTTATTTATTTTGTATACTTAACCTTTAAATTATGGTAAATATGAATTTCACGTTATTGTAGTTGTGAGTTGACTACTACAGTGTATTTTTTGAGTCACTCATAAAAGCATATGTTGGAAATAGCCTTTTTGCATGCATAGACAGGAACCTGGAGGCAACTAACCTAGGTAACATGGGTAGTACAGTACCAAGCTTACAAGCGTGAAGGTTATTGTGTTGGAGAGCGTAAAAAATGTGCGTTTTATGCAGACACTAATCCCTCCATTATGCTGTGAGAATTGTCTTTGCGATTACGCCTCTAAGTTAACCATCCGAGCAACAGGAAACATTCTTTGAAATACTCATAAGGATCCATTGGCGACTCCTCATCTCTGCAAAGAAATTTTTGAATTTGATGGTACCTATGCATGCTGACGATTTTATTTGATGCATTCATTGCAATCTGGTAGCGCAGTGCGTTGAAGCCATTCATTTGCTAAGTAGGATGGATGATGTTTCTCAGCTAGTGAGTTTCATTTGTCATTTACTTGTACTGGGAGAGTTGACCTAAATATTCGCTCAGGTTTGCTTGCAGACTTCATTCCCCTCATCAACTATCCTCTATCTAGAATAATACTAGCTTTTGACTTGTTTATTTATGATAGCGACCCATTGGCGATGTCGATAAATCTTGTGCTACCGCCTATAGCAGGTGCCTTCCTTTTATAAGATTATGACATCCCACCAGCGAAATGGGGTTACTGTTTTGAGGTGAATCCGATCCAAGTTGATCTCATACTTGCTTGATAAGTATGAAGACATCGCAGCACTGCGTGTCATTCCTGAAGTTTCGTTATCGATGTGCGGAAGGTCCAGAGGCGACAACTTTTTATCAAGATGGTGACAACCACAGAGATTTGAAGTGTTCGCTTCATTAAATACATTATTAAAGTATATATAGTTTTGCTTTCATAATGGTTTTGTTGTGTTTCAGAGTGTTCCCTACTTCGAAAGATTTATCCAAAATGACCTTCACCTTGGTCGACAGCCCCTGCTCCTCATCGCCTATGCAGGTCAAATTTCTAATGCTACCATTTTTTCCAATCCTACTGTTGTATTTTTAAATATTCTTATTAGTGGAAGTTTACTGCTAACTTACATATACCTCATGAGTGATTTACTCAATGGTCCTGTTGTTCGTTCTTCAACCATGTAAGTTCCACAGAAGTGTTTGAGAGGAGAGAAATGATATACCATTAAAAATGTTAAAGGAAAAAAGTAGTGGCACTGAAAGAAGTGGGTGCGATTTCAGATTTGAGTACCGCCTAAATAAGTTTGATATTTTCTACCTAAAAGGCAAAATTATTGTCTAAATTATCGTTTAGCCTATACATACCCTCTATTGTTTTTGGTCACAATTAGCTATTTAAATGGATCAGTTAAGGACTGTCTGTTTCCATTCATGTTTTGTTTTCGATTCAAGACTACAATTACAGGTGGTGGTTTCATTTTTCATAAAACACCAGAATGAGTTGTCAAAGAAGTTCGTTCAGTCCCTGATGAAAGCCACTGTCAACTTTTCGCTGAGGGCTTAGTTCTGTCTACTCGATGCAGCTTGATATTGTGAAATAAAAACTTTTAAGAAACATCCAGGACTAACAAATTAGTCGAAAGGAAATCCTATTCTCCGTCTTACAAGGTAGTGCAGGGCCGTAGTGAATGGACTACGGAGATATGTGATATTTCTACCAGTAGCATCAGACGGTAGAGACAGACTATTTGGAGCGTATGTTCTCCGTGCGCTGTGCCGTGATTTCGTCCATCGGATTAGATGATACGATCGCGGATGAACTTTGGTATAGCATGGATTCGCGGGCTTTGGACGGCTACGGTCAGAAAGTCGAGGTTCGTCAGTGGGAAAGTCGCAAGTAATTGTTGCGTGGCACCGGAAAATGTGTAACTCATAAAACTTCGAAGAAGAAAATAAGATATATGATCTACCTTGAAGTATTGGTTGATGAGGAGGAAGCAGTAAGGGAGGTGTTCTTACTGCAACTTTTTGTCGACTAGACACCTGTTCACGATCAACATTGAGGTCACTGAAATCAGAGCTTCTTTCATTGGCAGATTGCTTCTGTTGCATCAGGAGAAATGCATGACTTCATGTTTGCAAAGGCGGAACAGTCCCCTCATTAACGACCGTGTATTTCAACAGGTTCAACACTGACTGGGAGCTCTGACTATCTGCCAGCCCTGGCTCGAATCTGTCGGCGTCACAAAATTTGGCTTCATGTTGAGGGGTATGTGTTGTCTTTTTTTTTCTTAAAAATCCTTTTTTTCGGAACTAAAGCTCTTGATATCTGTGTTACCCCTTAGACTCTCCTTTCTCCGTTTGGCGCTGCTTACCAGCCCACCGGTAAAGCCCAGCTGGATGACAACGATTAATAGCATTAATTTGGAGCTATCACTCTGTTTTGGTCTACCCCGATCCCTGAATATTGTAAGTTTCTCGTTTTTTTTTCCCTTTTTGCTAAAGAGGGTAGTACGTAGCACCTTGTGTATCCTATCCTTCAACTTTCGATTAAGTATGATCGTATTTTCAGTTAAGTGGTTAGTATTCACTTTTACTTTATGACTTCTTTAAAAGTCGTATCCTAGAGAGAAAATGATTATTTTTTTTTGACTTAAACTAAAGTTGTTTTAATGTCATTTTGCAATTAAAAACCCACTTCCTTACCTCTTTTCATTCAGCCACCAGCTCGTATGCTGAATCACGTCGTTAAATAGACAATTGAAACCAATGGTATTGTGCCACATACTTTTTGCTTCGTTTAAATGTTGTCTTTGGGTTTGCCTATGATCATTTCATTGTTTAGGTCGGCATGACTGCCTCGGTGAATTGCAGGAAGCCCTAGAATAAAAACAATGATATTAATTAATGTGTCACAACTAGGAGCTGTCTCGGGGAGGGCCTTATCTGGTTGATAGTGGAACTTCTCACATCAAGCATTTATCCAAAATCAAACTGGAGAGAATATTGTGTCCTCACATTATGATCGCATAGTATCACAATCATGTCAGTGTTCCAAGGAAGCTTTTGACTCGTCCAAGTTCGTCTCCTCTGCGTTGCTAGTCCATGTGCGGAACTCATGACCAAAAGACGATATGGCTTTCTCAGTTCTCTTGCGAGTCTTCATAGATTCAGTCATTCAAAATAGACATCTGCATTACCTAACCAGTAAGAAACAAGTCAATGTCACCAACAATGTGGCATCTGATTTATAAGTCAAGACAGGGATGGTAGCAGTCCAGAGTACGTGATGTGGAAATCAGAGTTGATGCTAATCTCTTTTACTTCCAATTCACAGCTTCTCCAACAGGAGTATCTGATTTTCCTACAAGATTCTCCAATATTTATTCAGTTAGATCATTCAAACCCCATTTTCATCCTTCTAGTCTACGACTGTTGTGGTCGTAGCATTTAATGGGCCAATTCATTTGAACCAAAAATAAAGAATATTTACCTATAAAATAGCCATTTTCTCTCCATTTGATTCAACTTTTTGTAGCTCCTGATGCAGTCAAAGATGCCAGAGTCCATCCTTCTTTACCTGAATGTCTTTCCGTTAACAACGGCTTCCGAGGAGACGGAGGGGGCGACATCACTACCTTCACGCTCACTCCCCTCCACCTGCCTTTCAGATGCCCTCTTCGCTTGGTTCTCGCTTCGTATCCAAGATGGTAGCCATGTCAATCGGCTTCGACATGCTGATCATCTGGTAGGGCATCTTTCGTAAAAACTTTCGGTATTAATCTCACAGAAGTCAATATGATTGTAATGATTTCATCTGCGAAGGTTTGCTCAGTAGCAGATCGTAAAATCTGCCACGTAATTAGGTCCGATGCTTGGCATATCTCTGTTTTTCACAATTTGAGGTCGTTAATTTAAAAGTCATATTCCTGTTTGAGGGCAAATCAACTGGTGTGAGCATTCTCATGATCCAGTTAGAATTCTTCAGCATTACTTTCTGGAAATTTTTCCCAATTAAATTCCGCCGCCCTCCAGTCAAACGGCTTTCCTCTCATTCAAATGGACGACTTTGTAATGATATTCAGTCACCTTTCTATGTGTAAGTCGAGGCATTTTAGCCAAGTGTTGGCACTTTTACTGAAACAACACAATTTTCCGCTTGTTAAAATTTGCAGTGCTAAATTAATGTTTGAATGGTAAGTTGAGCCCTGTGCAATGATTCCTTTAGACTTGATGTTTGTTTGATGGCGGCTTTTATGCAAGGACGCTCTTAATCTCTGTTTCTCAAGAAAAAAAATAGGATATGTCAGCTGTTTCTTAAGTGCTTGTGTTCTTTCAATGCTAATCAGACGGTAGTTCTTACCCTGCAGTAAAGCTCTTTAGAATAATTATCCGTATAATTAGATCCTAAGCTGAATTAGGTGTAAGACTTATGCGGCATACCGAGACTTTTTTGAAGGCGAAAGGGGCCATAATACTCAGGCGGAATATACAGATCCAATATACAGTAAGGCCTGGGACTACTGGTAAGGCCTAGGGGCCAGCTCACTCAGCAAAGGTGCACTGGCCATAGCACAAAGTGGTCCCTCATCTTTGGAGCGTCATCCCCGGCGCCCCCCTTGGTCAACCTGCCTTGTCAACCATCACAACGTAATCAGCGATGTAATAACAACACCTGTTAGCCAACCGCGCCGTCATTGGATCTCCATGCAACTGCGGAGGTACTTGACCGCAAGGTCATTGATCCATCTTGACGATCCTACTGGATATGACATTTCCTCCTGAATGGGGACTGGATTCGGGACAGGAAATTGTGCTGGTCATTGCGCGTGTTCATAACTAGGTGTGGGGACACTGGCCTAAAAGCAAATTTTGTATTGGAGGCCGAAATTTAACACAGTTTCGTGAGGGTAGGGTTTCGATACTAATCCTCCTTGCCACTTTGTTCCCAATGCACTGCTTTACCCGGTCATAGTTATCTGAGATTTATCCAGCTAGTAAAGAAGTGGAGGAGCTGTCGCGAGTACATATTGTCAGTATGCATGTATGGTAGGGAAACTCTGTAATGACGCTTTTCCAGATGGCTCGCGGGCAATGTTGCTCCCGTTGTTAATAGTTTTCCTGCAGAACAGGGGACTGAGATAGTTGCCAAAAATTGATGTCATTTTCAAGCCTTCTATATGGGATCGTCACAAATTCTCCCACCTGTAGCCTATGCACTTCTTCTGCTCCGCTGAGGTTTATCACCCGGTAGTAGGAATAAGGATAGATGTCCTTTTAAATCGGGCTCATATTCCGCTGCCACCAATTTAGTGCTCTGAGACTTTCTTAAAGACTAAAGAAGACATAATACTCCACACAAAGCAATGCCTAAGGCTACTGGCATGGCCCATAAGCCAGCCCTTTAGGTGAAGGTACACTGGCGAAGACATCAAAGTAGCCCTTTACCAAAACCGAAGGTTAAACAAACAATCAACTCCTTGCACTTAAGCAAGCATTACTTACTTTTGCTGTTGACTATCCAGCTAAGCATTATCAATAGTTTTTGAGGGATTTAATGCATAATCAGCTATCATGCTACTCTTATAGAGACATTAACAGGTTTTTTTGCTTCATTGAGGTCAGGGAAATATTCAGTTAGCTGTGTTTGTGGAACTTCATTTACAAAATCTACGTTCTTCCCTCATTAAGGCTTACTTTACTTAAGTTGCATTTTCTGCTAGTCGTCTAGGTTGTAGTAATCCTTTTTCAAGGGTACGTTGATGGTTAAAAAAACTTATAATGAATTGTTCTGTCACCAGTTTATCACACATACACACACACGCACACACACAGAAAAAGCTGCCTTCGGCGATGAAGTGGTGCCTCATTGCGGTGAGGAGTCAGCGGATCGTTTGGGGATAGCCACCAACGTATTTGCTCGCCCGACCTTGCAATGCAGTAGCCATTTCCCGTCATAAGTCAGTCGGATATTCAGGCAGTCAGTCGGTTGAACAACTAAAAGTGTGCCTCACGTCCTCATGCTATAAGGTGAAGTAGGGAAGTGAAGGAAAATGTAATGGTTTTTCATTTTTTTTCTCTTTCCAATGGGTGAAACTCTTTCGCTTAGACCCACTAACCCCTACTTAGCGCCCACCACCTCCCACTACCCACTTCTTCGCCGCGGTTGGAGTAGGTGCAAACCAACGCTATCACCTTCCATAATCTCTCCTTCAACATTAGTGGCAGTTGTTCTTCCCACGCATTCATCATCTCTTATTACTTAATCGTAAACACAGCATCCTGCCTCATTGATGCAATGCATCCATCCATCCACATTGTTCAACTATTTCTCTACAGGAATGTTCTGCTGCTCCACACTTTTTTAAGATACAAAACACTAGAATTGACGAGTAGCCGCCAACTTCTCCGCTTTGTAAAGCTAACAAGTTGCCGTCGCATCCATCAAGTTCACCTAGCATTTGCACGCACTTTACTAGGCGCAGCAGGTTAAAAAAATGTCATTGCATTGAGTCATTGCCGTAAACCGCTTGAACCGTCACTCGCTGACTACTTCAAAGGCGCTCTCCAATTAGGTATCCATGAGCGCTGCCGCAACGTCTAAACAGTAAATTTTCAAATCTCAATTAATCAGCAAAGCTTTTGCGTTCAAGCTATCGAAGTTGTTTTTTCCCCGCTGAATAGTTTTTGGAGTTGGTTTCCTAAAAATAGAAGTTAGTCTTTTTTCGAAATAACCAATCACACCCTCATTTCGTTAAACTCTTCTTTCGTTGGTGTTTAAAGCTACCTCCTGGAGGTTTGTTCCATTGATGAGGTCTCTTTAAGGAGAAGAAAGTTTGATGATGTGGCCAAAAAGGAGTCGAGAAACTTACATCTATTTTTGATTTACGAGCAGGTAGACATGTCTCCACTTGTAAGAGGCTACAGGAAGGGGGAAATTTTCTTTTATACATGCGAAAGGCCCATACTCACTAGCTGGTGTCCAAGCGCTATTAATGCGTTGCTTTACTCTGTTTACCTGTCTCTTTCCATCATATTTTTCTAGACTGCGTACACGCTTAAAAAGATGGAGTCCCTTCCTTCAGTCGAAATTTTCGTAAGTGCTACGCATTTTTGGTTTTATTTGACATCCATAATTCATTATTATTCTACTTACCTTTTATTTCATTCATCAGCCATCACACCAATGCCTCGGCGTCACAACTTCCAATGGAGATCGTGACTCCGACATCTTTTTTATCAAGATGTTGGTAAGTTAAGCCCACACTGCCCCAACACTCATCATTTCGTCTAGGCACAAAGTACTCACCTTTTTTTGTGTCGTCTTTAGTGTGAGAATTCCGTGCATTGTCCACTCATCCTCTTCCGCTATGTTTTATCCTCGTCTCAAAGTAGGTCCCTTTTTTACTCCATTTTTTCCTGATAAAATGACATATCTGTAGTGTGTTTCTAGGCTTCATTGCCACACAAGCGATCAATTTTCCCGTCTCAGCTTGTTACACCCACTTTGTGGTTTTTTTTAGAAGGCTTTTTAAATCTTTCTTTTTACTGCGTGCTTGATTCATTTTTTTTTTCACTAGGGGAGTTAGTAAATCCTCGGATTATAGCGTCATGCAATTTATTATAGAAAGATTGTGAGAGGAATAATTCCTGATCTTTGTGCTTGGGGCATACGCTTAGGTGGTGCAATATTGTTGTACTGGTGGCATCACGTGTATTCCTCAGATTCCTTCACTGCCTTCAGCTCATCAGCAATACTCATCAACCTCGGTATATAGCCGGTTGAAAGAGCCTTCAGAATGGAATCTATTTCAACTCATACTTATGACATCTAGGAATTGCCTAGCCACCAGTCTGGTAGAAATCTCTTGACACTCAATCACATACACACACACTTTTTGGAATGAACTTATAAATTCCAGACTCTGCAGTTACTCCCAGTTTGTCAGAGTCTATTTACGTGGACCTTGCCTTCTTATGAGAGGAGGAGATATCAAGCCTTCAGGTCATTGCAATCCATTTTTGGCCCCTGCTGATTAATAAAAGTTCTTGCAATTTTTGGTAGAGTTCACTGCAACGGTATACTGTGGCTCCTCAAAGGGCTAGCAAAATTCATGCGATGTTAATGCAAAGGCGAGGGTTTGTTGGTCTGTTGATGCGGTTCTGCTTTATCCCAATTGTGACTTGCCACATCGTCAAATGTCACTTGAACCTGATGGATGTGAATGCAACTTGTCAGCTTCACAAATCGAGTTTAACCCGATTGTCAAGATGAAAAAGTTAGCTACTTGTCAATTCCAGTGTTTTGTATTTTGAGGAAGTATGGAGCAGCAGAACGATCCTGTAGGGAAATGGTTGAGGTAAACAATGTGGTTCTGGTAATGAATCACTCCAAGTCAGCCAGACAGGTGGTTGCATTGTGCCAGTGAGGCAGGATGCTGTGTTTACGACTTAGAAGTGCTGCATGCCGCATTTGAATGCAGTGATTGGAGATGATGAGTGTGTAAGAACGGGTGTCAGTAATGTTGAACGTGGGAGATCGTGAAAGATGGAAGATGAAAGAGTTGGTTTGCTCCTACTCCAACTGCGATAGAGTAGTTTGTAATGGAAAGTGGTAGGCGCCAAGTGAGAGTAGCTAGGATTGTGTAAGTCTAAGCAGATGCGTCCCTCCTACAGGAAGGAGGAAAGTTGAAAGATCATGTAATGGCCTGAAATGCTGAGGTCACTTCTCCACTTCACCTCACAATGTGAGGCCATGCTGCACATTTTTACCTGCCTCACCGACTGACTGAGTAGCCGATTGACTTTGGTGGAAAGTGACTGCTGTATTGCAAGGTCGGCCCAACAAACATGATGTTTGTCCTTTCCAAATTATGCACCCTTGTTGCACATCACATTTCTACTGGGCCATCACTTCATCGTTGGAAGGCCACTTTGTGTGTGTGTGTGCGCGATGAACTGGAGACGGAGCTAAGCGTTAACGACAAGACTCCACCTGTTTCCTGCATCTCGCTGCTACTTGACATCACACAAAGACAGTTCTTTCCTTAAGAGGCAGTCAGTGGTAGAAAATGCGTGAGAAGTGTTATTCTTAGGTTCACAAGTCCACACAATCCTCGAAATCTCTTGATGCATTGTTGGTGTGATAGAAAGAGAACATTGTTTCACTCTTTACATTCTTCTGGTGGCGTTTCCCCAAATGATCCTCATTGCCTTTTTTCCCACCAGCTGATTACGTCAAAATCGGAATTACCTTCTAGGAAGTAACCGTTAGGTAGAAACAGAGGTGCTAGGACTGGTTTTTTGCATCGGATGAAAAAACCATATGTAAAGTTGAAAAGCACAGGCTTTTGTTTCATTGTGGATTGTAAACGTCTTCACTAATTGATGCAAATGCTTCAATTTGTTCAAATGTCTGCGAGCTTTTGATGTCCTTTTTGTGGTTAATTCCTCCTGTTCTAGCTGATTGTAACAAATAATTTCCTACTGTGGTCTTTTTAACCCACCAAATACCGGCATTGTTTTTCTTCTACAGTAATTTTTCTACCCCTAAAACATGCTAGCTAGGAATAAGCTTTTTGTCGAATGTACAGTAGAGGTCGAAGACTAGTAGAGATACACCAAAAGTGTGGAATCACAGACGTGAGATGCTGGAAGTGCCGTTTTGCTACCGTATAACGAAGCAGTAAAGTTTGGGGTTTTAAATATGGGAAAATTACAACTTTACTACTTAATAGCCTACGCGGTGGTCAAAGTCATCCTTCATCCCACTGTTTTTTTTTTAAATCATAGATGTTATGTCCGAGTCCTCGGATGCTCGCGTGGACAAGGATCAGGATCGACCAATGGATCGGCGTTTTCTCAACAGTCTCAATCACTGGGTGCGCTTATACTTGACTTGTGAAAGGCTAAACTTTCCAAATTTGAAACCAAAATGTTTAAAAGTTATTTTGAAGTAATTTTCAGACCGGAGGTGAAGATACTATCAAGGCAGGACGACTTTCTAGCAAACGTTTCTTTACCACCGAGACAGTCATCTGTGATTGTCCGTTCTAGTGCTCCGAACGTCCGTTTACGGCCTAGATGTTGTCGTTGAATCTGTCGCACGTTAGGGCCAAGTTCTCTCACGGTGTGTGTCACATGGATCCCCAAACAGCTGACATTGGGGTACAAGTACTCTTTTTTCTAAAAAACAAAACAAGGAGAGAGAGTTTATGGGTCCGTGCAACTATAAAGTTTTAAAGAACTACTGACGTATTGCGTAATTAGATGGAAGTGTGGGATCTTTCTCCATGGGGAATGCGAGTTTTTGAATCAGGCGGATGAACATAAATTGGCACGATGTTAACGCCTCTGTGCCTCATTATTTAGCTGACGGCTATTTTAGCTGCAATTTTTTAATCTACCAAGATTGATCAAATAGGGGGGGGGGGGGGGGAGAGGTTACCGGTTTTCCCTTCTACCTTCGACTCTTACCTTTT